GCTGCCCACCTATATAAGGGGTGCATTTTTAAAAATGTTTTTTTTTCACAAACCTATCAAGGCGTGGATGTTTAAAAATATTTTTTTTTCTTGAACCTATATTAAATATTAATATATAGTCGGACGGGGCCGACCATATGATATCCTACACAACTTCCACGAAAATCTATCTTCCTGTGGTTCTATATTCAGAGCTTGGGCAATAAAAAAAGAATCTGATGGAAACATTCAAAGCGATCAGCGCTATATTTCCACCCTCTAGTGTGGCAATGGGTTACTAAATAATATCTCAGTACGTAATGTTTAAGTGGAACTCCCACATCTGAGTACATACGGGTCTAGGTCCTTCAGGGCCAAATATATACGCCATAAAATACAATTTTTTTTAATTTTTCACACAAAAGTCAGGGTCCATTTGACCCGCTAAATATTGACCAATCCTTTAGACCAATTTGGACCAATCGGACCAAAGAATAGGACCGATCCCCTTCTCCATGAAAAATTTCGCGATGTTCGGGCCATAATTGCTGCCTCTGGAGCGACCAGAAAAAAGGACAAAAATTAAGTATTAGGTCCATTTCATCCCCTAAATATTCATCGATTTTTACCAAAAACAATAGGGGCCTTCATTGTCCAGAACCCATCCTACATGCAAAATTTCGTGAAGATTGGTCCATAAATGTGGCCTGTATCGTGTTTACAAATTATAATGGACAGACGGACGGACACACATGTCTAGATCGACTCAGCTAGTCGAGATATGACGATCGGTATACTTAAAGGTGGGTCTAGGACCAATATTTCGCGGCGTTACAAACTCTTGGGGCTGCACAAAGCTATAATACCCTGACAACATTGGTTGTGTAGGGTATAAATATCATTCCACACACTTCCTCCAATCCAATATCCCATTCTTCTTCTTTCATTTAAAAATATATATATATATATATATATATATCCCATAATCCCCTTATAACCAAAAATCTCCAGCCACCATTGAAAAAACACACAAATTTCGCAACATTGTATTTGACAGATTGCCTTCGAAGCGGAAGAAAAAATAACAAACAACAAAAAATCACATACAATAACAAATCAATTTGTATGGCCTGTATGGTTGGGCTGTCCCGCCGATACCATTACTGAAAAAACAAATCTAGAGACTTCCCTTCAACAACAAAATACAAAAATAAAAAAATAGAATTTGAAATTGAAATTGAACACACATTACAACAAAATGGGAACATCTTCGGATGTTTCTTGGCCACTCTCTCTGCTAGCTGAACAATCAAACAAAAATTCTTGAAAATCCCAGATGTGTCAATAGAATGGGATCAGCCAAAAAAAAAAACAGAAAAACGAAATGTTTAGCTACAAATGAAATAAATAAACAAAAGGAGCACTTCTCTCCTTCCCTTTCCCCTAGGCCCCAATTAAAATAAAAAATAAGGCAGGCAAGTCCGCCAGACAAATATCGAAATTCTTTTTTTCAATTTTTTTTTTATTTTGGGACAGATGCATCCATCCATCCGTTCGATCATCCGTCCATTCATCAGTGGTTGTTAGTAGTGGGTTGTGTTCTCTTTTTTTTTTTTGGGATTTTATAGTTGTTGTTGTTTTGCATACTAGCTCTGCTGGCTTGTGCAATAATATGATGCTTGTGTAAATTGGATTTCATAGCCAGACACAGCTCCAACATTTGGGTATGGGGTACACAACTATACACACTATCCCCTTCTTTTCGCTTTTCCCTTTCCCCCTTTTTATAATTTCCTTTTCTTTGCGAAGAGTGGGTGGCATATTTTTTTTTAAATGCTGCGTCTGCTGCTGGTCATGATTTCATACATGACGATCTCTAAAGTCGTCATAACCATAATCGTTTGTACTTATGTTGAACATCAGTATTATAGCTATGGCATCGTCATTAGCCAGCCATAATTTTGTTCAACACCATACGTCTTAGTTCTAGTAGTTCTACTGGGAAGTTTTGAATAATTAATAAAAAAAATAAACATTAAAATATAATACTTAAGGACATATATTCTACGATTTATATTAATGTAATGGATGATATCGTAATATTTTTTTCTACCAAATATCGTAAATATAAAGTGCACCGATTTTATGAAAGCAAAAGTCCAAATAATTTAAAATTAAAAAATAAAATATTTTTTAAAAAAAAATATTTTTTTCGGAAATATATTTTTGAATTATTTTCAATATATAATATTTTTGGAATATTGCAGATATTTTTTTTCTTTTTTGGAGTATCGTAAAAAACAAATTCTACATTCATGAAATAAAATTTCAATTTTTTCCCCCTCCCAACATCAAACATGTTTTGTTCTTGTTACAACATTGGAAAAAACTACAAAAACAACAAGGGGAAACATTTTAGTTTTTTTTCGTTCTCCATTTTTAGAAAAAAAGCAATTTCATTATCAACAAAGCGAAAATAGCCGAAAGGATATTGTTTTGTATGCAGTAATCTAAACGAGGGACCGGATGATGTGAAAAAATATAAAAAATTGGTTTTTGTGCATTCTTTTTGGCTGAAGGCTATGTTTGACTAGGATGAGGTGATTGCATGCGGACAATGTCTGAGGATGTTGCTGCAGTTGAGTGGACAAAAAGGAAAACAACAATGGATGTAATAAAAATTTTAAAGAAAAAAGGAATATGAGAATGTTAAAAATTTAAAGTTGAAAGGAATATGAAAATAAAAAGTATACAAAAACTCTAATAAGAATTTTGAAAAAAGTATTGACTAGAGTCAATAGTATTGACTAGAGTCAATAGTATTGACTAGAGTCAATGGTATTGACTAGTGTCAATAGTATTGACTAGTGTCAATAGTATTGACTAAATTCAATAGTATTGACTAAAGTCAATAGTATTGACTAAAGTCAATAGTATTGACTAAAGTCAATAGTATTGACTAAAGTCAATAGTATTGACTAAAGTCAATAGTATTGACTAAAGTCAATAGTATTGACTAAAGTCAATAGTATTGACTAAAGTCAATAGTATTGACTAAAGTCAATAGTATTGACTAAAGTCAATAGTATTGACTAAAGTCAATAGTATTGTGTAAAGTCAATAGTATTGACAAAAGTCAATAGTATTGACAAAAGTCAATAGTATTGACTAAAGTCAATAGTATTGACTAGAGTCAATAGTATTGACTAGAGTCAATAGTATTGACTAGAGTCAATAGTATTGACTAGAGTCAATAGTATTGACTAGAGTCAATAGTATTGACTAGAGTCAATAGTATTGACTAGAGTCAATAGTATTGACTAGAGTCAATAGTTATTGACTAGAGTCAATAGTTATTGACTAGAGTCAATAGTATTGACTAGAGTCAATAGTTTTGACTAGAGTCAATAGTATTGACTAGAGTCAATAGTATTGACTAGAGTCAATAGTATTGACTAGAGTCAATAGTATTGACTAGAGTCAATAGTATTGACTAGAGTCAATAGTTATTGACTAGAGTCAATAGTTATTGACTAGAGTCAATAGTTATTGACTAGAGTCAATAGTTATTGACTAGAGTCAATAGTTATTGACTAGAGTCAATAGTTATTGACTAGAGTCAATAGTTATTGACTAGAGTCAATAGTTATTGACTAGAGTCAATAGTTATTGACTAGAGTCAATAGTTATTGACTAGTCAATAGTCAATAGTTATTGACTAGAGTCAATAGTTATTGACTAGAGTCAATAGTTATTGACTAGAGTCAATAGTTATTGACTAGAGTCAATAGTTATTGACTAGAGTCAATAGTTATTGACTAGAGTCAATAGTTATTGACTAGAGTCAATAGTATTGACTAGAGTCAATAGTTATTGACTAGAGTCAATTGTATTGACTAGATAGTATTGACTAGAATAATAGCATTGACTAGAGTCAATAGTTATTAACGGGAGTCAATAGTATTGACTAGAGTCAATAGTATTGACTAGAGTCAATAGTATTGACTAGAGTCAATAGTATTGACTAGAGTCAATAGTATTGACTAGAGTCAATAGTATTGACTAGAGTCAATAGTATTGACTAGAGTCAATAGTATTGACTAGAGTCAATAGTATTGACTAGAGTCAATAGTATTGACTAGAGTCAATAGTATTGACTAGAGTCAATAGTATTGACTAGAGTCAATAGTATTGACTAGAGTCAATAGTATTGACTAGAGTCAATAGTATTGACTAGAGTCAATAGTATTGACTAGAATCAATAGTATTGACTAGAGTCAATAGTATTGACTAGAGTCAATAGTATTGACTGGAGTCTAGAGTCAATAGTTATTGACTAGAGTCAATATTATTGACTAGAGTCAATATTATTGACTAGAGTCAATATTATTGACTAGAGTCAATATTATTGACTAGAGTCAATATTATTGACTAGAGGCAATATTATTGCCTGGAGTCAATTTTATTGACAAGAGTCAATATGAGTGACTAGAGTCAATATGAGTGACTAGAAAGTATTGACTAGAGTCAATAGTATTGCCTGGAGTCAATATTATTGACTAGAGTCAATAGTATTAACTAGAGTCAATAGTATTAACTTGAGTCAATAGTATTGACTTCAGTCAATAGTATTGACAAAAGTCAATAGTATTGACAAAAGTCAATAGTATTGACTAAAGTCAATAGTATTGACAAAAGTCAATAGTATTGACTAAAGTATTGACAAAAGTCAATAGTATTGACTAAAGTCAATAGTATTGACAAAAGTCAATAGTATTGACTAAAGTCAATAGTATTGACTAGAGTCAATAGTAATGTATGGAGTCAATAGTATTGACTTGGGTCAATAGTATTGACTAGAGTCCATTTTATTGACTAGAGTCAATAGTATTGACTAGAATCAATATTATTAACTAGGGTCAATATTATTGATTAGGCTCAATTGACTGAAGTCAATGGGTTTGGCTTGAGTCAAATATTTAAAATATTTTAATAAAATAAAATTTTGTTAACAAACTTACCCAATGCTGTGGCATAGCCGAAAGCGGCTACCGTCAATACAACGACGGCCAGCGTACTAGACGACTGCCGTCTCATTTTGGTTTTTGTTGGTCTGTCTGGTTGCTATTAAATCTAGTGGTGATTTAGGATGGATGGATTGTTTTGGAATGGGAAGGGAACTGTGTAACCTCCAGGCCCAGTTCCGTTCTCTTATAGGTTTTGACAAAAAACCCTTAACTTCGAGGTAAGGGGTGTGTTGATTATTGTTTTTTTGGAACGTCGTTTTTTGATTTATTTTTAAACTATTTTCACTGTTTAATTTTAAAAAAATTATATCCAAAACTGCAAGAGAAAGGGAAAAAACACATTCAGCTAGATTTTTTTATCTGCAAAGAGAAAAGGAGAGAGAGAAAGGAAAAAAATTAATATGAGAAAAATTATGTTTTGTTTTTACAACTAAATGATAATTAGTTTTATGATACAGTTTTTATATAGTATGTACGTCAGAGTCAAGGGAGGTTGGTAGACATTTAGTAATTGAAATTTTTTAGCCTTTAACCTCCCGCATCCCCCCTACATGAAGCTAAAGGTAATTTTATACAAAGTAACCACAAAACGCTAAGCCACTGACTGTTGTCTGTCAATCTTTCTACAAACACGAGGATGAGACAGATTTTATTGTAAATGGAGCAGGGGCGTCTGGGTAGGAGGGGGTCATAAACATATCTGAGTAAGAGGGTATAATAGTAGATCATTGATTTATATAGGGTACCCAGTTGTCATTTTGAACTGTTCTGATCGCTTGATCAGAATACCCAAGGGTGCTTCTTTTTCTGTGACAATGCAGCTGAGCCTGAGGGCATCAATTTCAATATCAATTTTACCCACGCCCATGACCATTGTTGTTTATTTATATGATTTTTTTTTCTAAACTAGGTTTTCGAGAAATCAAATCGCTGACCTCCTCCACCCCTCTCTAAGTACCCATCCACTCCCCCACATCAGGCCAGCTCACATGTTTATGTGAAAATAAAAAAAAAATCGGAAAAACGTTTTCGCTATTTTGCAATGAAATGAAAACGAATGTGAAGGCAAAAATAGAGAACAAAGAGAAGAAAAACAAAAGAAAAAAATCGGAAAAAACAAATAGGGAAACATACTAATTGAATTAGCCATCCGACATAGTAAAGATGAAGAAGAAGAGCAGAAAAAAACAAGAACGCAATGGAAAAAAATTGCGAAAAAGGTGAATCGAAGTCAAAAAGGCTTAGAGATTCACTTAAAATGTTCTCAGATACGTTACCGAACGGTAGTGGTTATGGTGGTGGCAGCAATTCCTCAATCAGTATAATTTTGGCATTAATTATAATTTTGAATATTTTAATGATAATGCGTAAGATTATACAAATACAAGCGGTGTAAAGAGAGAAAAAAATAAAAATTAAAAAAATTAAAAATTAAAAAATAAAATAAAAAAGTATCAAAGCCAACCGAACGCATCGATTGCTGAAAAAGAAAATCTCAAGGAGTAGCGGATTAATTTTCATTGTTTGGAGAACATGGATTTTCGAAATCTGTGCTCCAAGTTCGATGTGGATGCAATACGAGGTAAGTGTTTCGGATTTTTTTCACTGAAATCCAATTTTAATTAATTTACCCTGATGCGTGCCATGGAAGCCTTTGAAGTGTTGTTGTTGCTGATGTTTTTGATTTAACCTCTGATTTCTTGTATGCAAATTTCAGCGAAATTTCCACCCCTGCCCGATGTAATGACCCAGATTAAATTACCAAAGTCAATGTCAAAATTAAAGTCACGCAAAATATTCCGCATGTCCCGTGAAGATGTTAGCCGCTCTTCGTCGAAGCGGCGTTCCGCCAGTATTGATGACATCGCTGCCAGCGGTAAACTGCAGCAGCAAAATCCCTTGGGCCCACCATTTACTATACCAGTACCGCCCACACCTTCCGATTTTGTAAATCACACACCGGAGAGGATCTCAACCATATCTTCGTTGGTAGACAAGAAGGGTGGTGGTGTTGGTGGTAGAGGTCGCAGTTTGGGCCGTGGGGCCACAATGAAAAAACACCACTACCAGGATCAGGATGAGGAGAGTTTTTATCGCAGTGCCGGGGGCATAGATGATTATTGTCCCTCGCCCGAAAATGTGCCGCAGCGTCACATGAGTCCACCCTCGCTGAGGATGAGAAACGATAGATCTCAGGCGGCTCTTTCACCCAGCCGTCGCACCATTTCCGAATCCAATGTCAAAATGTCTTTCAAGGAAAAATGCCAAAAAGGCTATCGCGATGTTTCCGATTTCCGGCTGAAACATGTCTTCGCCAAGAAAACTGTGGTACGTCAGGACACAATACAGGTTACGGAATATGTTCGACGTTTTGAGGAAGAACGCCGCATAGAGGAAAGTGAAGAGGAGCGGGAGGCTCGAGAGCTGGAGGAAAATTATAAATTTAATTTCAAAACATCGCGTCGCAAATCGGATGAGTCATTTGGGGTAAGTACCCCCAGAGAGTCTCCTCGCACTAGGCTACAAGCCACAAATCCCAAAAAGACACTAAGTGAGCAAAGTGGGGATGAGAGTGGTATGGAACAGACGCCACCGGCTAGAAGGCCGGGGATTGCGGCCACACGATTTGCTCGGGTGCGCAAGGATCCTTTGCGCATGTCCTTGGATGAGGATGATGGTATTAAATCTCCTCCCAGCAGGCAAAAATCTCAAGAGGAGGAGGAAGATTTAGACGAAGAAGAAGATGAGGAAAAGAGTGACATCGAATTGGATGAAGTAGAGGTGGATAAGCCACCCATACCTCTGCACCCCATTGAGAGTGCCCTCTATAATAAAATCAACAAACAAAAAGAGGAGGAAGAGGCTGCCAGAGCTAGGCAGCGGGAGAAAATGCAAAAGTCGCGCAGCATTAAGAAGCGTTTGGGTACCTTTAAAAGTGTCAGTCAAGAGGGTTCGCTGGCCAGCAACTCTCCAATGAAAAAACGCCGAGCTCCCCTAAGTCCCCAGGAATCCGAAGAGAAACCCAAATCTCCCAAGGCCTCCCAAGGCATCAAGCAAAATTTCAAGCGACTGCAGAAATCTATAAAATTACCCAATATGAGCCTTAGCACCACCTCCCTTTCGCGCGGAGCTGAATCAGACGTTGAGACCGGGGAGAACACCGAGTCTGGAAAGCCGGCAAAAGCTTCCAAAACTCAACAATTTGCCGAACGTTTAAAACGTTTCCGATCCGTCGATAATGTGGACAAGCAAACGGATAATGAGGCGGAAGGAGAGGCAGCCGGAAAATCTCCCGGATCTCCTTTACAAAAAATCACTCATAAGTTGCAGGATTGGAAGAAAAGTTTCAAGCGAAAACCCACGGAGCCGAACAGTGATGAGGATATGCCCAGCTCAGCGGCATCACCTCAGAAACGAGAGAGGCCTGTGGGTACCCTGATCAAGCGATTGCAACACATACGCAATCGTAAACAGGCCAGTACCGATGATCCCGACGACGATGAAGAAGGTGGTCATAGCTATCGCGAGAGTTTTAAATCTCGTGCAAAATTGCAGTGGGAAAAGGGTATGGCAGCGGCCCAGCATATGCCTCAGCTGACCATGGAGAAGTTGAAGGAGTCCAAGAAATTATTCCGCAAGAAGCAAGGCAAGGATAAGGACAAGAAGCCAAAGGACAAAGATTCCGCAACGAAGGCGAATGAAAGTGGTGAATCCGATTTGGAGGAAAGTGAGGCAGAGGAAACGACGAAAATGAAGTTGAAAAAGAAGGGCAAGGGGAAACCAGACAAATCTCCTACTACTGCCCGACACTATTACAGCTCCGATGACGAGGATGAGGAAGACGAAGAGCAGGACAAGGCAAAAGAAACTACCAAGGTTACCCTGGAACCCTATCAACAAAATGTAATGGTACCTCTGTCCCGGGCAGCATGGACTGCCAAACCCATACTCACAGATTCGGGAGATGATCTCGATGAGGACGATGATATATTGCCAAGGGTTTTGATACACCAGGATAATACTGAAGGCTTTGAGTCCACCCTGATAATTGCAGTCAAATGTCCCATTTCTAGATCTCCCACAAGGACACCACCCTATATCACGGAATTACCACCAGATTATGAAGATTCTGCCAAGGAGGAGGGTTCTCTCTCACCCGTGGATTCTCCCAAAGTGTCCTCCCCCGAAACTAGGGCGGATAGTTGGGTACCTTATAAAGAAAAAGTTGCCAATTTATCGGACTTTCAAACACCACCACATTCAGTACGGGGAGAAGGGGGAGGAGAACGACGCCATTCCAAGGACTCCATATTATCCTCGGGCGGTTCAAGAAGTCATCATTCACGTAAACATTCCATTGATTCTAGTTCGGAAGATTCATGGATGAAAGATGTCCCACGGGATACCTCAAATGCCATAGGCCTGAATAGTGTCTATGAATCGGAGGAGCCATGGAAAATTCAGACCGGACCAAAAATGGATGCTGAAAAGCTCTACAAGACGAAAAGTATTGATATTTTCGAGAAGCATAAACAGCAGGGTATGGAGCTGCATATTTTTGAAGATTTTGATGATGAGCTAAAAAATACCCCAGTGGTGAAGATAGGTAAGGAAGGGGAGGGGAAGGATGATGAAAAGAAGAAATCCCGCCAACAAAGTTGGGAGGAGGAGGAAAGTGGTGAGGAGATGGATCAACCTGATGATGATAACTCTTCGAGGATAACTAAGATTCTGAAGCAGCCAGAAATCAACCCGGAAGATGAAGAGGAAGGAATCAAAAAGAAAAACCAAGAAAATCTGGAAAAAGAAGAAAAATTGGAAAAATCCAAGTTTGCCAATAGCCCTGAAAGCCTTAATGGACAATTGGAGAGAAATGTTACCCCTATGACAGATAGTGGGGCCGAGGAGGACAATGAGGATAGCAGTGAGGAGGATGAAAAGAACAAAGTGGATGATGATGAGGAGGAGGGGGAGAATGAGGAAGATGAGGAGGAGGACGAAGAAGAGGAAGATGATAGGCCACCATCTCACAAGCCCTCACCACCACCCACAGAAGTCAAGGCCCCTGGAACACCAGCCAAAGAAGTACCAACCCCAGAAACACCACCACCCCCAGTGCCCCAAAGACAGCCCTCAATACGCCTTAGCGGAACCAGCAATATACCCAAACAACCTCCACCACCCTTACCAGAAAAAGCGGAAGAACGTGAAATAACACCACCACCCTTACCCCAGAGCAAGCCTCCCTTGCCACCCAATAGACCACAGCAGGTAGTGGTGCCACCGAAAATACCCGAAAGAACACCCTCCATGAATAGAGTGAGCCGGCCATTGGTAAAGACAGCTTCCCTACGCCTCGCCTACAGTGAACAAGTCAATCCCGAGGATGTCGGTAAGGTAAATAAATTAATATCGAAATTTGAGCCGCAACGGAGGCCACGTCTAATTCCACGCAGAGTCTATTCATCACAGGAATCCTCTTCGCAAGACTATTCAGATGATGAAGAGAACGAGGAGGAGAATGACGGGGAAACCGAAAATGAGCTGGAAAAGCCACGTAGCCGTAATCTGTCCCTGGATAGGACACCGACAAATAAACCGAAATTACAAAAATCATTTTCCATTGAGACCCAAAATGAGGCGGAATTAAAAATGATGGCCAGCAAAACGTTAAGAAGGGCTCCGGAACCACCAGCCTTAACAATGGCAACTAAGGACCCACAGAACAACAACAATTTTGATGTCATGGAAAAACTACAAAATTTACAAATCAACGAAGCTAAATTAGTAAACAATAACAACCAGAACAACAACAATCCCCTACGAGGACCACCACCACCCTTACCCATTATCATAACAACAACAGCAGCATCGAAATCCTCACTACAGGACGACTCCCCACCACCACTCACAAAAACCATCACTTCGAATCGTCATAATTCCCTTAGTCAATACGACAGTAATTCAAATTGTAGTCAACCGAATTCCGAATATGGTTCACCCATGGCCTATCCCTCCAGCCTAATGGGTTCCTCCGCCGAAGTTACACCCACTTCGAATCGCAAAGATGCGGAATTGTTAAATACCCATTATCGTTCGACGAGACGCAGCATGGCCCGTGATGATGAACATTTCTATTCATTTGACAGTGATGAGGGTAAGTAAGGGGGGGAATTATTGAATATTTTTTTTAAAATAAATAAATAATTTTATTTTTTAATTACAGAAAATAGCTACTATTCTATAAGTTCAACGGGTAGTAATCGCTATGTGGTTGAATTGTAAATGGTGCAGAGAGTAGAGAGAAAAATTGGCACAGCTGTCAAATTATTTAAAACCATAATAATTAATGCAGGAAGCAATATTATATTTTAAATATTTATTTATCATAGAAAATAATTGTTATAATTTAAAATAATTTTTAGTTATAAGAAAAAAGTAAATCGAAGAAAAAACCAAATTTCGAAATTAAATTGTGACTTAAAAAATATTAAGAGCGGGTTTTTTTTATTTATTTATTATTATTGTCTTGGAAAAACATAAAAAAGGTTCACATGAATGACATTTGAAAACATTGCGCCTAAAAGTATGCATCACACATATAAAATATTTACAATACCTACGCTTTTAAAGCTCAGATCCAAAAAATGTATATCCGTAGATCTTTTTTATATTATTTAATTTAAATACAAAAAGAAAAACATATAAAAAAAGGTTCAATTGCATAACATTTGCAAACATAGCGCCTAAAAGTATGCATCACACTTTATAATATATTTATAAAGCCGATAACAAAATTGGAAGGACGAAGAGAGTGTTGAAGAAATGGATCAACCCGATGATGATAATTCTTCGAGGATAACTAAGATTCTGAAGCAGTCAGAAGTCTCCTCGGAAGAAGAAGAGAAAGAAGTCAAAAATAAAAGGCAAGGAAAGAGAAAGAGAACGAAAGCCTTAATGGACAATCGGAGAGAAATGTTACCCCTATGACAGATATGAGGCCGAGGAGGACAATGAGGATAGCAGTGAGGATGATGAAAAGAACGAAGCTGAAGATGTCTTCTCATTAGGCGCCAACTTCATTTATTTCGAGTGTCAAACATCAAAAACTTTTTTACACATCTTTCAATTGGAATATTAAAAACCATAATTGACTGTTGTTGTTGCCTATAAGGTGCCTTCCTTATACTGGGCGCCATTTTTAAATGTTGGGCGCCTATATCTAAAATGCGGATTTTTGATAAAAAAAAAACAGTATAAACTGGCAGAGGTCTTTTTATTTATTAAAGTACTAAAATCCACAAAATTAATTTCCATATAAAAAGTTTTATTTGAATAACAATTGAAAACATAGCGCCTAAAAGTATGCATCAAACTTTACAAAATACCTACGAAATATTTAGGAAACCCACAATTTAAATACTCAAATATCTAAACTTAATTTCCCCTTTCTATTTTATAAGGGGTACCAGACAAATTACATAAAAAGAGAATCATTTTGTATGAAAGAAAGAATTCCTCTCCTGTGTTCTCATTGGGCGCCAACTTTATTTATTTCACGTGTGAAAAAAAGAAACTTATTTTAAACCTTTAATTAAACCTCTTTCAATATAAATATTTGAAATGAACAAATGGGTTGATGATGAGGCGGAAGAGAAGCTGGACGAAGAAGAAAATAATATCCCACAAGTCCTCACTACCACCCACAAAAGTCAAGGTCCCTGAAACACCATCCCACCCAGCCAAAGAAGTCACAACCCTAGAACATCACCTTCATCATTATCAATTATTCTATTTGAAATTAAGGAATTCCTCCCACTTTTTTCATTGGGCGCCAAATTCTTTTCACGTGTCAAAAAAACTTTTTTAAACATAAAATTAAACCTCTTTCCATTGGAATATTATAAAAGTCATCTTGGCTATTGTCGTTGCCTATAAGGAAGCTGCCTTATATTGGGCGCCAATTTCAAATTTCAACTGTTGGCGCCTAAATCAAAAATGTGTATTTTTACTAGAAAATTAGAAAGTGTAAAAGTAGATGTTCCACTGCTCCTTGTATATTGTGAATAAAATAATGTCTTAAATGTTAATGCAACATGTTGGTCGCCAATTTCAAATCTCGTAAATTTTGTCAAAAGGATAAAAAAATCTCCACAATTCAAACTCTCGTTTTCAATTGAAGTCTCGCATAACTAATTTCGTAATTGATTATATAGCTACAAAGTGAGTGCCCTGTGTTGGGCGCCAATTTCCATTTAAAGATATTTATAAGAGAGATAAATATCTTCAAAGATGTTGATGATGAGCTTAAAAATACTCCTGTGTTGAAGTTAGGTAAGTGATTGGAGGGAGAATATGAAGATGTGTCTGAGGAGAATAAGAAATCTCGACAACAAAGTTGGGAGAATGAAGAGAGTTATGAAGAGATGGATCAAACTGATGATGTTCCAGGATAACTAAGACTCTGAAGCAGCCAGAAGTCTCCCCCCAAGAAGAAGAACGTCTGCAAAAAGAAGTAGCCAAGAAGTCTCCCCTTGGGCGCCAAGTTTAAATCTCATATTTCAAATGTGGAGATAACAAAAATCCACATTTCCACAACTCCTTTTTTAATTTCGTACTTGTTTCTACCTATAAAGCGAGTGTCCTTTGTTTGCAGATATTTAAAAGAGAGGTACATATCTTCGAAAATTTTAATGACGATCAACCCGATGATGATAATTCTTCAAAGAAAACTAAGATTCTGAGGCAGCCAGGAAAAAGGAAGAACACCAGGAGAACACTAAAGAAGAGGATGTGAAAAAATCCAAGTTTGCCAAATAGCCCTGAAAACCTTAATGGTCAATCGGAGAGAAGTGCCACACTTCTGACGGATAGTGGGACCGAGGAAAACAGTGATGATAGCAGTGAAAAGGATGGAAAGTATAAATGGGATGATGGTGATGAAGCGGAAGAGGAGCAGAACGAAGTATAGGAAGATGATAGGCCGGCCACCATCGAAGATATGTACCTCTCGCCTATGTCAAATTTAATATATTTCCAAAAAAACAAAAATGATAAAAAATCTTCACATTTGAAACTCGGTTTTTAATTGAAGACTTGCATATCTAATTCCGTAATTGTTTATAGCTACACAGTGAAAGACCTGTGTTGGGCGCCAATTTTGTCAATAGCTCTAAAAACCTTAATTGCCAATTGGAGAAAAATGCCACACCTCCGACATATAGTGGGACCTAGGAAGAAAATGATGATAGCAGTGAAGAGGATGAAAAGAACATAGGCATGATTGTGATGAGGCGGAAGAGGAGCAGGACGAAGAAGAGGAAGATGATAGGCCGGCTACCATCGATGATATGTACCTCTCGCCAATTTCAAATCTCATATATTTCCAAAAACGAAAAAGATAACTGATCTCCACATTTCAAACTCAATTTTTAATTGAAGACTTGCATACCTAATTCCGTAATTGTTTATAGCTACAAAGTGAGTGACCTGTGTTGGGCGCCAATTTTAATTTACAGATATTTAAAAGAGAAGTACAACAACATGTTGGGCGCCAATTTCAAATCTCATATATAAAAAAATGCTAACAAATTTCCACATTTCAAAATCTGGTTTTAATAGAAGACTTCCATACCTAATTTCGTAATTGTTTACTGCTACAAAGTGAGTGTCCTGTGTTGGGCGCCAATTTCAAATCTCATATATTTCAAAAAAAATCTCTATCTTTCAAACTCGGTTTTTAATTTAAGACTTGCATACCTAATTCCTCTAATTGTTTATAGCTACACAGTGAGAGACCTGTGTTGGGCGCCAATTTCAATGTACATATATTTCCTCAAGTCTCAATATTAAAAATTATGATAACAAATCTCTACATTTGAATCTCTATTTTTAATTAACGACTTCCATACCTAGTTTCGTTCTTGTTTCTATCTTTAAAGAGAGTATCCTCTGATGGGCGCCAATTTCAGTGATTTTTGGAGTTCCATGTTGGGCGCCAGATTTTGTTTATGTTGGGCGCCACTTAAGCAACACTATTTCTTCATTCTTCCGTGGCCAAGAAAAAAATTAGTCAAAAATCCAAACAATACTTGAATATGTAATGAATGAATTTATTTTGAATGTTTCATCAAAGACTTCCATACCTAATTTCGTACTTGTTTATATCTATAAAGTGAGTATCCTGTGTTGGGCGCCAATTTCAATATTAATATCTTGCAAATACGCCTCCTTTAAAGCAAAACAATTACAAATTCCCCATTTCTTTCAGATAAGAAATATTTACAATAATTTTCTATTTTTAACGTATTTAAACCAAAGACCAATATAACCTTATTTATAGCTGTAAGGTCTGTATCCCATGTTGGGCGCCAATTTTAACAAATCGATTTCCGTTAGATATTAATATCATAGAATTATAATGTTGAGCGCCAACTTATTATATTGAGGTATTGGCTATTTTAAAGACAATAAATACTAGTTTAACTTTGTTTAGAGCTATAAAGTCGGTGTTCCAAGTTGGGCGCCAATTTTAACAATTTCTATTTGGTATTTTCAAAAAATAAAAAAGAGCTTTATATCTTACGTATATCTCCTCTCGTCCGTAAATTTCCCAACTTTTTTAAAATGTCATTTCCAATTAAAAAAATGTCAATTATTTTGATTCATTGACTAAATAAATGCGGGTAGGTACCCCTATTAATTATTTAAAGCCACTTCATACTAAACGATAATTATAAATATTTAAGTCGCTGAATTCTGTGTATTGTTCTGGGGATATTTCTATTGTTCTGATGACGATTATGACGATGTTTGACAATAATAAAAATAATATTGCTGAATGTGATGATGATCCAAGCCGTCCTGAAGAAACAAATTGAATATGACTCGTGCCATCACTACATGATGATGATGATGACGAATGGATGACGGCATGTTACTACCCTCCAAAGAGGGTTGAAAAAACTGTATCCTGTGCTCACGCGTGAGTGTATACAACAACAACGTAACAAATATCTGCAAAGGACAACAGAAACATAAACAAATACTACAATACTGTCATGCTTGAAATGACTCACTGTGAGCTGCTGCTGTTACTACTTGGTAACCGATTACTCAAGTTGTGAGTCATGAAAATAAATTGATGTTGTTTTTATTTTTTGTTGAAATATTTTTCCTACTGGATTACTGGCTTCAGTTGCGGCGCCTTTGCATATTTTAATTCTTTTATTCATGATTATTATCCACATTTATTTGCATGTCCTTTGCATGAAAAAAGAGAGATA